GTTCGTCACACATAAAAATAAAAATTATTGTCTGTAACATTCGGCCGTTAATAATAGGAAAAATTTCACTTATACATTTTTGTTGCAAATTAAATATACTAAATTTTCGGTCTTCCATCGATAGTTTAATTGATAAAAGTGAACAATAATAAACATGAAACTTAGTAAAGACGAACATTTACTTCTATTTTTCAGCAAGTTGGTTATCAGCGAAACAGTGTGTGACGAAGGTTGGTATTGGGTTGGAGCTAAGCCCACTTTTTAACGTATAATGCCACAGATAAATTATCTGAGACCATTATTCACTTCACGAAAATTTAATTAAATTCATCTATTTGTAATTTTGGAAGCTGTTGCATTAATCAGTCGTAAAATCTAATGCTACAACCATCGGTAGCAGTACCTACTCCGACAAGCTATGGCTTCAGGTTGGTTACATTTCGAACCTATTAAGCGTGTTTTTGCGACCAATTTCGCGTTAAACTCTTTATTACAATTATTGAATAAAAACTTAAACAACAACTTAACGAACACACGAACAGTAGACTCTAGGCACATTACACTACGAAATTCAATTCTTGATGCATTTACTGGAGCAGTCATAGAAAATAATAATTCTGAGTGATAGTATTTATTCTTGCATTAATGTTTCTGAACAAATATTGCATTGCATTTTTTACAAACTTTTATGATTGAAGCTAGTTCATCAGCTGCTCTTGTTTGCTGTGATATAATATCAAACGCATGTTTACAATTAGAGAATGCACAATTACTGTTGTTAATTGTAAAATTTGATTCGTACTTAGGTAGATAACTGTCATTAAGAACAGTTATGTCAAAAAGTCGACATACAAAATTATCCATTAATATAATAATGTCTGAATCCATGGGATGAGAATTGCTATTATGCGGTGGATGAAGTTGACTGTCATCTAATAAATTCTTCTTAAATCGACGTAATATGTTCAACTTATTTTGTTGAGTATGTTGAGGTCGACAGGACGTTTTTGTGTCTAATTGCATTTCGATTTGATCGTTATAATGGTTTTTCATAACTTTAGAAAATACGTTACACTTTGAATTTCTCTTTCATGCGTCGTTATCTAAAGATGATTGAAGTTAAAGCTGAAACGAAATAATTGAGATTTAAAGAATAAGTACTGGAACACAAAATTGTATGCATTAATTGTATTATGATTGTTTTTTAAGGATCGAAATTGATAAAAAAGGATAAAAAAGATACATTAAGGTATTTATACAACATGTGGAAAACGAAAGCATAAGTACGAAAGCCAGACCTACTTCGACATTTATCGATCTGTAGACTAGATAAAACATTTCATATCACGTTTTAATAATAGATAAATACGCCTTAAATATCTTTCCTGTCAACATCCTGAACAGAATATTTTTAAGTTGATTGATTAAAATTAATTTTTAACTTTCCGTCAAAAAAATCAATGAATTTCGAAAAATCGGGAAGTTACTCGTTTTACCTCGTTTTGCAAAAATCGAGGATTCAACAGATTTCGACGTTTTGAAGCCCTAAGAAGCTTTCCTGACTATTTTTACAATGATGTCCGTACGTCTAGAAGTATGTATGCATGCATGCATGTCTGTGTGTGTGTTTTTTTTTTTTTTTTTTTTTTTTCTTT